ACTCTCCTGATCCTGCTTTCTCCTATACCCATCCCCACCTACCCCCATCAATCCAGAAGAAGACCTATTCTAGTTTCCCTTTTGAGGGAGATCCATGTATCCCCGCTTGAGCCTTTGTTGTTAACTAACCTCTCTGTGTCTGTGGGTTGTAGCATGATTACCCTTTACAACTAATATTAATGTATAAGGGAGTTCACACCACTGTCATTTGTGTCTGGCTTACCTCACTTAGAATGATTTTTTTTATATTTTTTTGTATATTTTTTGTATATTTTCAGAAGTAATTTGTAATCCCCAATGAGACAAAGTTTGCTCTACTTCTTCAAACATTTTCTCTAATGTATGTACATATGAATCAGCTAATAAAATTCTGTATAATGTTGAAAACCTACCTAACTTGAATATAATTTCAATTGCAATAACATGTACTAACATGCAGTACTTCATATTCTAGCTGATAATAATAACTTTCAAGGACTAGATATTTTCATTACATGTTTAAGTGAGTTGTGTTAGGTAAATATCTTGAGTAAGAATATAAAATTATAGACATTATGTTTTAACAAAAAATAATGTCAAATTAGTATCAAAAGGAAGCATCCATATCTATATCAATGTAAAATACATAAATCAGTAGTTACTTTTTAAAATTAATTTTAATGATCCACCCTTTTATCTTATCAGAATACATATATATGCCCCTTTATTCTTTTTAGATCATGAAGGCGTAAGTCACAAACAATGCCACACCAGTTTGGAATTATGATTAATAGGGTGGTATTTATTTAAAGGGGAAAAAACTTACAGATCACTGTCCCAGGCAACAGCCCTCTATGCAACCAGGAAGGGAGTCTAGTCACGAGTGGAGTAGGAAGTGAAGAGAGAGACGAGAGGGAAGTGGCCGCTTTTTTAAAGGGAGAGAGACCACGCCCCAATGGGCAGGTATCTCAGCAGCTATAGGCTGGAGGAGCGGGAGGACCTCCCGCAACAAGAGCAGAATCAATAATCTACACTTTTATCCTCATTTCATTGGGTGCCTTTTGTAGGTGGATGTATATTTATGAATCTATAGAGTTGGCTTTGGAGTTTGACACTGGCTCTGTCCCTCTATAAATCCAAGCATGTTGTTAAAATAAAAATCAGAGATTCTGTCTCCTGTTAAGAGCCATAATATGGGACAGAAAGAAAAAAAGAATTTAGAAAAAAATTTTACTTTTCTTCATATCTAATTTTTGTCTCTATTGTACATGTCATTGAATATATATGTCTGCATATGTCTATATAAATAAAGTTTAAGTTTTCCGCAATGAACAATGAATTTTCCTGCAGTAATTTTTGAAGTTTCCAGGAACAGCAACTCAACCTGTTTGATATTACATCTTGATGATGATAGCACTACTACTAGACCTGTTTTGCCTAGCAGCTCATCAAGATGGCTCCAACTTGTTTAGCTGAAGTGGTGCACTTTTTTACAACGTTCTGGGCAGACCTCCCAATAGGAAGTCAGAATAACCCTACCAAGTACTCAGAGACTATTTGCAATTATACCAGATAGTAAACTTGGAACCTAACCATCATTTTACTTTCATAGGCTCCCATAGAAAGAATATCACCCCCATGACTGCTGGAAGTAATTCTAAAAGATGACATCCCCTCTCCCAACAAAGGTTGTCCTCAGGGTTAGGGACATCATTGAAGGGTTGATAATAATTGGTATAGGGTTGTGGGTTGGAAGGGAAATTTTATAGGCTCAATAATCTCTTTGAAAAAAAAAGGGAAAATTGGATGGCATAATAGAATAGTGGGAGCTTACTCACACTAATAATAGTGAGTAATAGAGTGAATGCTTGTGAGTTATAATTTACAGGCAATTACATTGGTATAGATTGTTGTACATTGATACAATGTTCAATTATATTGAATATTGAATGCATCCATGTTTCTACCTCTGCTTCAAACATTTTTATATATTGAAATATATTTATCATTTTGCAATGTACATTTCTACCTCTGATAAAGATACTTATACATTGTTTACATTTTGAATTCATTGTCTTCATTTGTTGCACAGTTGTTTATTGTATAATATTCTCATATGAAGTCTTAGTCTTTAAATTATATAGGTATTGAGAATTATAGATCAATAGTCATCTATGTTTGTCATACTTATAGTTAGACTAGTCAGGTTTTTTAGATAAGTAGAGATTATATTCTGCATAGATAAATAATCTTCAACCACTTCAAAGAGCTGTAGAATATGACATTTAAATAACTTAGGGTACTGTTGAAGTGAGACACAATTGCTCCTGGTAGCACGGATCTATTCCCCAGAGAATGTTGAGCACCAGTCATTTTACTTGGAGCTTGTTTTCTTCTTGGCAAAACTGGCCTTTAGGCAAAGACATGTTCATATCTCAACTACTGACAAAATACATGATATCCAAAAATGGATAAGCAGGACTGTTAAATCTTGCCAAGACAGGATAAGATGATTCTTAAAAATTTCCTACCTCCTTAAGTGGTCAGTCAGTTATTCTAGGTCTTTGCCAAAGTTGGTTGCTTCAACATTGCAAATGAGACTTTGGATGATTGCCCAGGGAGCCAGTTGTCTCTGTAATTTGTTGCACATTTTGAAAGTTGCTAGATTGCACTTCTTGCTTACTCAAGTAATATTATTTCCCTTCTTGGATCTTTGATGGGGTTAAAGACTAGATAGTTGAAGTTACTTTCCTCTCATGACTTGGCCAAGTTATTATACAAGACATAAACTAGTTAGGATAGGATAATTAATGAATATATTGTTCTTATTTATTGTATATAATTGTGTATTGGGCTTAGAACTCTCTTATTTAAACAAAAGGAGAATGTGCTGTAGGAAGTTTTACATCCAGTGGTTTCCTGACCACTGGGGCGTGGCCTCTTATACTATATATGCCAGTATAGAGCATGAGTCCAGCCTCTTTTCTGGCTGCATGATTCAGTTTCTGAACTCAGTTCAAGCATAGGATTCTGATTTGTGAGTCTATCCCTAATAAATAAACATCTATTTCTCATTTCTGAGCTAGTATTGCATTTCTTCTAAGAGTCCTTTAAGGATCATTAAATGTGAAGCTTTGATGTGATGAAATGATTTCTTTCAGTTGTTGACCATGGACCAGTAGTGACTGGGTTCAGAATGTCCTTGATTGAATGAACAACCCCCCAGAAAACATCATGTGTTTGAAGAACTTTCTCTCTTTATTGGTTTTATTTCAATTTTCTGTGGATCTTTAGTAGGAGAAGCCTTTCTAGATGAAATTCCTCATTGTATGCTATGAGTTTCAATACCCTAAAGTAATTTCCTGACATTTATATACTGTGTTGTGCTTGACATTAATCAGCCAACTTCCTACTTATACTGAAATGCTATTACCATCATTATAGGTTCGATCTCTAAATCACATAAGAAAGAGCAGAAACAGTTGTTATTCAGTGCACAAGAGTTTGGTAACCTGCTGTTTTAATTGTTTTTTTTTTTTTTTTTTTTTTTTTTTTTTTGCTTATCTAAGTAATTGTGTGGCTCTAAATTCCTGAAACTAAAGGGAGGCATCATTCCTGGCTCTATTTGTTTCTATGTTATTGGATGATGGCCTTGGAATGCAGGTATTTTTTATGTCAAGTATATGCTGCTGTGCTGAGCTTCATGCTTATCTTGAATTTTAAAATTTGACAGAGGGGGCTGGAGAGATGGCTCAGAGGTTAAGAGCATTGGCTGCTCTTCCAGAGGTCCTGAGTTCAATTCCCAGCAACCACATGGTGGCTCACAACCATCTGTACTGAGATCTGGCACCCTCCTCTGGCGTGCGGGCATACATGGAGGCAGAATGTTGTATACATAATAAATAAATAAATCTTTAAAAAAAATTTGACAGAGGGTATCTCTCTGATTCCCAGGATGCCATCCCATGGATTGATAGCATTAATACTGCCTGAGTATTTTTAGTTATTAAATTACAGTTGTATGAACATCTTCTTGCTTGTTATGCTTGCTTTGATTTTTTAAATCAATATGACTGTTTTATATGCCTGCATGGATATGTACCATGAGAGTGATCAAAGGATATCAGAAATCCTGACCCTGGAAAAATGGATAGTTGTAATCCCCATGTAAGGACAGGCAAATTTGTCCATCTCCATTCAAGATCAGCAAGAGTGCTGAATTAATCTGCCCTCTCTCCAGGTCTGTGTTGATAATTTACGACCAACATTTATATTTCTACTGTTTTCATCTGTCCACTTGTAACTGTTTTATACAGGAAGTTGTTTTTCTTCAAAATGTTATTGGTATTGCAGTTTATATTAGGATACTTCAGGGTCTGGAAGAAGACTACAGAACTGGAGAGAAAACAACTCTTTGTAGAAACTTCAATAAAAGCCTGTTAGTTTTTCTATCCCATTGTTTGTAACATTGAGGCTTGCAATGGAGACAGAGTCTGTACTGCCACCTCTCCTGGACCTGATTGCATAGACTTGACTGGCATTCAACTCAGAGACAAATATACCCACCTCTGTTTTCTGAGTGTTGTGGTTAAAGGCACAATACACCAATTCACACATTTGTGTATCTTTTTTTCTTTCTATAATGAGTAATTTTTCATACAATTTTCTCATGCATATAATTTACTGTTGATCTTTTTTCTTGTCTCACCCTGTTAATAGATATTGTTCTTATAAGGTGAAATCCCATTCAAAGTGTATAGAAATGACAGAATTGACTCTCCTTTTCAATTTACTTCTAAAGTAACTGACTATATCACAGAATAAGAATGGGGAGCACCAGAATCATACAACTGTACTTTCAAAGAAGTATGCATTTCCAATGATGTCACTGTCATGCTTACATTGTATACATGTGTGGTATATTTTTGAAGGCAGTGACCTATGATGATCTACATATCAACTTCACTCAGGAAGAGTGGGATTTGCTGAGTCCTTCCCAGAAAAATCTCTACAAAGATGTGATGCTGGAGACCTACAGGAACCTCACTACTATAGGTAAAAATGAATTTCCTTCATGTTTCAAAATATGGAGACAACCTTTCCTTGCCTTATAATGTTGTTCTGTAATTTGATTTAGAAAGAAGAAAATGAGATGAATAATACAATCATAGTTGTTAGGTGCACTTAAGATAATGAGCTAATTGTTGTACAATATTAAGTAATATAACATACATATTCTGGTACTGTATTTCAGGGTACATTTTGGAGGACTGTAACACTGAAGAACATAGTCAATGTTCTAGAAGACCTGAAAGGTAATTTTCCTGTGCAAGTTTATAACAATGTGCCTCGGATGAGTTTGTAATATGTCCTGGAACAATTAATCAGAAGCAACAGTGTAAATAAGCACACCTTTAAATGCATTGATGGTTATTAAATTCTCACAAATCCATATTCCTCAATTTCTCATATGTGAATTGCATTTGCAAGGCATTCATTTAAGAAAAAGTCAAGGAAGCAATGACTCAACAGATATCACCATTTGAATCATAGCAACGTGAGAGCTATGTAGTCGATCTGTCAGTCCATTTCTTTCTTGCTACTCATGACAAAAACTGTATACACATTTCAGTGATGAGTGTAGCTGCAAACTTTCTCCTAAATCAATAGCTCATGGTAAGACTTGGATTACTCATATACTTTTTGTGACTTGCTAAGTTTAGTGAAAGTGGCAATTAGAGTCAAGGGTCAAGGGGCAGTTGTTGTGGAGAAACCTTAATATCTATACCACAAGTCTATGAGGAACAGCAAGTGAAACCATGAGGATTCAATGTGGAAATCTTTTATTTACTATTCTTCCTTTACTATGTATATCATATGTTCCCCTTGATACAAGCATATGAGAATATGGATATGGAAAGATATAGCATACATCTCATTAAGAACAAATAGAAGATAAACTGTAGTTCCCATAGAGAGTATACTTGTTCAATTAAGTCCAAGTATACAGTAATTGGTTTTCTACCATGATTGTTAATACATAAACAACTTCACATTACAAAAAAGCCCAAAGAGTTCTAAGTCTGCCAATACTTCTTGGTGTCTTAGTTCACTTAGCCAATGTATAATGATTCATAGTAAAATTTATGAATGCAGTAAAGTTTGTAAGGCACTCAGTGTATGGAGTTTTTTTTAAAAATGTGAAAAATATCATAGAAAAAATATAGGGATAGGTATAGATGAAATGGTAAACCATGACGCAAAGGAATTTATCATCACAAATATTTTTCCTAATAAAAGAAGAAAACATGATTTTAAATGAAGTTATAAGACATTAATATTTGATTCATTTTTACAATTGGAACAAATTATGAAATTAATTCATACAGATCTGAGGTTCAACAGTGTATTGAATGTGGTAAAGCTTTTACGTGTGTAAATTATCCTTGCAGGATTGAAAGAAATCAAATTGGAGAGAAATTTTCAGTATGTTCTCACTGTGCTAAAGCCTTGTCTTCTGACACTCACCTTCTAAGGAATGAAAAAACACATACCAGAGAAAAATGCTGTGAAATTAAGCAATATGGTAAAGCCTTTGATTATCACAGTCATCATCAAATGCATGAAAGAACACACACTGGAGAGAAACTCTATGAATATAGTCAAGATGATAAAGACTTTGTTCTTTATGAAACTCATCAAAGTCATAAAAGAACACATAATGAAGAAAAATCATATGAACTTAATCTGCTTGGTAAGGCCTTTGCTGATCACAGTCATCTTCAAAAGAATAAAAGAGCACATACTGGAGAGAAACCCTATGAATGTAATCAGTGTGGTAAGGCCTTTGCTCAACAAGGTCATCTTCAAAGGCACAAAAGAACACATACTGGAGAGAAACCCTATGAATGTAATCAGTGTGGTAAGGCCTTTGCTCAACAAGGTCATCTTCAAAGGCACAAAAGAACACATACTGGAGAGAAACCCTATGAATGTAATCAGTGTGGTAAGGCCTTTGCTCAACGTGGTACTCTTCAAAGGCATAAACGAACACATAATGGAGAGAAGCCCTATGAATGTAATCAGTGTGGTAAGGCCTTTGCAGATCAGAGTAATCTTCAAAAGCATAAAAGAACACATACTGGAGAGAAACCCTATGAATGTAATCAGTGTGGTAAGGCCTTTCCTCAACGCGGTACTCTTCAAATGCATAAAAGAACACATACTGGAGAGAAACCCTATGAATGTAATCAGTGTGGTAAGGCCTTTGCACATCTTTGTCACCTTCAATACCATAAAAGAACACATACTGGAGAGAAACCCTGTGAATGTCATCAGTGTGGTAAGGCCTTTGCTCGACCTAGTACTCTTCAAATGCATAAAAGAACACATACTGGAGAGAAACCCTATGAATGTAATCAGTGTGGTAAGGCCTTTGCTCAACGCGGTACTCTTCAAAAGCATAAAAGAACACATACTGGAGAGAAACCCTATGAATGTAATCAGTGTGGTAAGGCCTTTGCAGATCAGAGTAATCTTCAAAAGCATAAAAGAACACATACTGGAGAGAAACCCTATGAATGTAATCAGTGTGGTAAGGCCTTTCCTCAACGCGGTACTCTTCAAATGCATAAAAGAACACATACTGGAGAGAAACCCTATGAATGTAATCAGTGTGGTAAGGCCTTTGCACATCTTTGTCACCTTCAATACCATAAAAGAACACATACTGGAGAGAAACCCTATGAATGTAATCAGTGTGGTAAGGCCTTTGCAGATCAGAGTAATCTTCAAAAGCATAAAAGAACACATACTGGAGAGAAACCCTATGAATGTAATCAGTGTGGTAAGGCCTTTCCTCAACGCGGTACTCTTCAAATGCATAAAAGAACACATACTGGAGAGAAACCCTATGAATGTAATCAGTGTGGTAAGGCCTTTGCACATCTTTGTCACCTTCAATACCATAAAAGAACACATACTGGAGAGAAACCCTATGAATGTAATCAGTGTGGTAAGGCCTTTGCACATCTTAGTCACCTTCAATACCATAAAAGAACACATACTGGAGAGAAACCCTATGAATGTAATCAGTGTGGTAAGGCCTTTGCACGTCATAGTCACCTTCAATACCATAAAAGAACACATACTGGAGAGAAACCCTATGAATGTAATCAGTGTGATAAGGCCTTTGCTCAACGTGGTACTCTTCCAATGCATAAAAGAACACATACTGGAGAGAAACCCTATGAATGTAATCAGTGTGATAAGGCCTTTGCTCAACGTGGTACTCTTCAAATGCATAAAAGAACACATACTGGAGAGAAACCCTATGAATGTAATCAGTGTGGTAAGGCCTTTGCTGAACACAGTCATCTTCAAAGGCACAAAAGAACACATACTGGAGAGAAACCCTATGAATGTAATCAGTGTGATAAGGCCTTTGCTCAATACAGTCATCTTCAAAGGCATAAAAGAACACATACTGGAGAGAAAACCTTTGAATGTAATCAATGAGCTAAGGTCTTTGCTCACAACTGTGCTCTTCAAAATCATAAAAGAACACATACTGGCAATAAACCCTATGAATGCCATCAATGTGGTAAGGACTTTGCATGTCACAATCATCTTCAATAGCATAAAAGAACACATACTGGAGAGATACATGTGAATGGAATCTGTCCTGAATCCTTTTTCCCAATCATCTCCAAATATGTAAAATAAGACATCCTATAGAGAAACTCTGAGTTTAATATGTGTGTTCTTTAAAAACATGAGAAAAATCATACTGTAGTGATACTCTATGAAAATCAGTGTCAGAATGTTTTGTGCTTCATATAGGAGTAAGACTTTTTGTGTGTAATCAATCTGATTAAGTTTGTGGTGCATATTACCATAATCTTTGGACCTGAGGAAAAAACTGAGTGCTTATTGTAAACTATTCTTTAAACAAAAACAGTTATTGTATAGAAAAGAATTTTATAGTGTCAACAATTTGTTCAAGCATCATGATACCTCTTATTATTTTAGTTTGAAGTAGCAAACTAATGGACAAACATTTTATGAAGCATTATTGGTTGGAGAAAGGGTATTTAAAGAAACATACATTTGTCCTGAAACCAGAGCCAAAAGAAAGTACCTTTTCTCTGAATCTAGAAGTAGTTAAAGAAACAACATCTCTCTGAAAAGAGCCAACATTAAAAGGGGCCAGTAAAGACACACAATTTGTCTCTCAAATCAGATCCATAAAAACAAACTCTATCCTTGTCCACTGAGCACAAAAGCAATGAATCCCTTGGCATAAAATCAAGCTCATCCCTGAGCTTTTTCAGGATCAGGGATTGAAATCCAGCAAATTCCCACCATCAAAATCTCCTTTGCTCTCGGTTATTAAGAAGTCCTATTTGAGTCTTATGCTCATTCAGTATGCAGCTACCCCTTTCCACACTTTGCAGAGGTATTCATACTCATGTTTTCTTCCTTCTCAAATAAATCTGATTCAAGATTTATGTGAATACCTCTTTTACTGGAATGTTTCAGAAACTCCTGGAGTTGAGCCAAGATACAATTGATGCCTCTGTTTGGGAACTTAGTTCAGAAAATGACAGAGGAATTGGTCATATATTATGAAATATTTCCGTGGGAGTGGAGGAGATCAGCACCAGATATTTCTACTGGGAAACTTTCTTTTTTTGGTTTTTTTTTTTTTTTTTTTTCTTCTGTTTTTTGAGACTGCGTTTCTCTGTCGCTTTGGGGCCTGTCCTGGAAATGCCTCTGCCTCCCAAGTGCTGGGATTAAAAATGTGCACCACCACTGCCCGGCCTGGAAAGCTTTCTTAGAAGAATTAATTTCTTTTACTTCAAGTCTAAGTTTGCTTTTTCTTTACATGAACCAATTCATTGTGTAAGTAAGCTGTACGATGACTCTCAGCTCCTCTTTTACAGAAATGAATGAATGTTTACAGGAGAAAAGTTTTCATGAGTGAAAAACTGTCTTAAAACTTGTGTTCATTGTAGATATGTGATGTATGTGTGTGTCTCTTGTGTGTATTTTTTTTTCTTTTTTTAAATTTATTTATTTATTAAAGATTTCTGTGTCTTCCCCGCCACCGCCTCCCATTTCCCTCCCCCTCCCCCAACCAAGTCCCTCTCCCTGCTCAGCCCGAAGAGCAATCAGGTTTCCCTGCCCTGTAAAAAGTCCAAGGAACCCCCACCTCCATCCAGTTCTAATAAGATGAGCATCCAAACTGCCTAGGCTCCTACAAATCCAGTACGTGCAGTAGGATCAGAAACCCATTGCCATTGTTCTTGAGTTCTCAGTAGTCCTCATTGTTCGCTATGTTCAGTGAGTCCAGTTTTATCCCAGGCTTTTTCAGACCCAGGCCAGCTGGCCTTCGTGAGTTCCCAATAGAACATCCCCTTTGTCTCAGTGTGTGGGTGCACCCCTCGCGGTCCTGAGTTCCTTGCTCGTACTCTCTCTCCTTCTGCTCCTGATTTGGACCTTGAGATTTCTGTCCCGTGCTCCAATGTGTGTCTCTGTCTCTGTCTCCTTTCATCGCCTGATGAAGGTTAATATTCAGGAGGATGCCTATGTGTTTTTCTTTGGGTTCTCCTTATTTAGCTTCTCTAGGATCACTAACTATAGGCTCAATGTCCTTTGTTTATGGCTAGAAACCAAATATGAGTGAGTACATTCCATGCTCCTCTTTTTGGGTCTGGCTTACCTCACTCAGGATAGTGTTTTCTATTTCCGTTTATTTGCATGCAAAATTCAAGAAGTCCTTGTTTTTTTACTGCTGAGTAGTACTCTAATATGTATATATTCCATACTTTCTTCATCCATTCTTCTATTGAAGGGTATCTAGGTTGTTTCCAGGTTCTGGCTATTACAAACAATGCTGCTATGAACATAGTAGATCATATATTTTTGTTGTATGATAAGGCCTCTCTTGGGTATATTCCCAAGAGTGGTATTGCTGGATCCAGGGGTAGGTTGATCCCGAATTTCCTGAGAAACCACCACACTGCTTTCCAAAGTGGTTGAACAAGTTTGCATTTCCACCAGCAATGGATGAGTGTACCCCTTTCTCCACAGCCTCTCCAGCAAAGGCTATCCTTGGTGTTTTTTATTTTAGCCATTCTGACAGGTGTAAGATGGTATCTTAAAGTTGTCTTGATTTGCATTTCCCTGATCACTAAGGAAATTGAGCATGACCTTAAGTGTCTTTTGGCCATTTGGACTTCTGTTGAGAATTCTCTGTTCAGCTCCGTGCCCCATTTTATAATTGGATTGATTAGCCTTTTACGGTCTAGTTTCTTGAGATCTTTATATATTTTGGAGATCAGACCTTTGTCAGTTGCGGGGTTGGTGAAGATCTTCTCCCAGTCAGTGGGTTGCCTTTGTTTCTTAGCGACAATATCCTTTGCTTTACAGAAGCTTCTCAGTCTCAGGAGGTCCCATTTATTCAATGAAGTCCTTAATGTCTGTGCTACTGGGGTTATACGTAGGAAGTGGTCTCCTGTGCCCATGTGTTGTAGAGTACTTCCCACTTTCTCTTCTATCAAGTTCAGTGTGTTCGGACTGATGTTGAGGTCTTTAATCCATTTGGACTTGAGTTTTGTGCATGGTGATAGATATGGATCTATTTTCATTCTTCTATAAGTTGACATCCAGTTTTGCCAGCACAATTTGTTGAAGATGCTCTCTTTTTTCCATTGTATACTTTTAGCTCCTTTATCGAAAATCAGGTGTTCATAGGTTTGTGGGTTAATGTCAGGGTCTTCTATTCGATTCCATTGGTCGACTTCTCTGTTTTTATTCCAATACCAAGCTGTTTTCAATACTGCAGCTCTGTAGTAGAGTTTGAAGTCAGGGATGGTAATGCCTCCAGACGATCCTTTGTTGTATAAGATTGTTTTGGCTATCCTGGGTTTTTTGTTTTTCCATATAAAGTTGATTATTGTCTTCTCCAGATCTGAGAAGAATTTTGATGGGATTTTGATGGGGATTGCATTGAATCTATAGATTGCTTTTTGTAAAATTGCCATTTTTACTACGTTGATCCTCCCAATCCAAGAGCAAGGGAGGTCCTTCCATTTTCTGGTGTCCTCTTCAATTTCTTTCTTCAAAGACTTAAGGTTCTTGTCAAATAGATCTTTCACATCCTTGGTCAGAGTTACCCCAAGATATTTTATGCTATTTGTGGCTATCGTGAAAGGTGATGCTTCTCTAACTTCCCTCTCTGTTTCCTTATCCTTAGTGTATAGGAAGACCACTGATTTTTTGGAGTTGATCTTGTATCCTGCCACAATCCTAAAGGTGTTTATCAGCTGTAGGAGTTCTTTGGTAGAGTTTTTGGGGTCGCTTATGTGTACTATCATATCATCTGCAAATAACGAGAGCTTAACTTCTTCTTTTCTGATACGAATCCCCTTGATCCCCTTATGTTGTCTTATTGCTATTGCTAGAATTTCAAGCACTATATTGAAGAGGTATGGAGAGAGTGGACATCCTTGTTGTGTTCCTGATTTTAGTGGGATGGCTTTGAGTTTTTCTCCGTTTAACTTAATGTTAGCTGTCGGCTTGCTGTATATAGCTTTTATTATGTTTAGGTATGACCCTTGTATCCCTAATTTCTCCAAGACTTTTATCATAAAGGGGTGTTGAATTTTGTCAAATGCTTTTTCAGCTTCTAATGAAATGATCATATGGTTTTTTTCTTTCAGTTTATTTATATGATGGATTACATTAATAGATTTTCATATGTTGAACCAGCCCTGCATCTTGTGTGTATTTGAATGTGCATTCTGTATCCACTTAAAGATAATACCTTGGATATTATTGCAGAAGAAATTACAGGAAGCTGTCAAACATCTAACAATAGTTCTCACCTAGGCATGACTCTAGTGCCTCATATATTTTTAGTCTATTTATATCTTTCTGAAGTCTGGAAATAGGAACACACTCATAGAAAAAAGAAAGTTCAATTCATGACAACAATTGGATACTTTCTTTAGACATCACAGTTTTCTTTAGCTTTAAGTAAAAATTTTTATCATAACCTTGATACTCGCCCGTGTGTGTTCTCTGATGCTGGTTAAGGTGGGAGCTGCGGCTGAAGCCCTTGCCGCATTCTTAACACTTGTAGGCTCGGTGTCCCATGTGCGTTTATTGGTGTCGATTGAGGTCTGAAATCTGACTAAAGGCCTCCCCACACTGAGAACACATGTGATAGCGGATGCCTGTGTGAACTTCTTTGTGACCTGCTGGAGAGGGTAGCTGACCCACTCCTCTGCGATCAGCTCTCCCCACTGTCTTTCGGACCTGTCCCCACTTTCAAAGACTTCTTCGCTTTCCGGGTTCTTCTCAGCATCCCCAATAGGCTCTTCGGACATGGTCACAAACTCCACATCTTCACTAAGCTCCTCTTTCAAATTTGTTTTGTTCTCGCTCCAGATCTCAAAGTCCAGTGAGACAACATTTCCGTGATTCTCCTGCATCACGTCCCTGTAAAGGTC